AATACCCATAATTGTTGTTGGTATGCTTTCAGATAAGATCCTGCTAATGATGTATAGGAATTGTTTCAAATCCCCAAACACTGGAGGAATAAGGAGTTAGTCCCTAGTTAACCACTTCGAGCCTAGAAGTAGGAGTTTTCTTCGGATTTCTAAACCCTTACACTTAACCTGGGACATGGGTAGTGTTCAGTTAATTTGAATTATCAAAATGAAACTTCCCAGATGAGGATCAACCACAAGAGATTCTTCGCACACGTCCTGAAGTGTCGAAAGAATCATGCAAAATCAAAAGTTATGAAGATTGTTCCTCGATGTCAAATGACATGGCAGTCACAACCCTCCGACGAAATCGAAAAAAATTAAAAGCCTGCTAAGTCAAACACCTCAAGAGGAGACTTAGGCAAAAATCAAGGCTATCCCGATAGGCTTGAAAAGCAAAATCAATCCATGCAAAAGTTAGGGACCAAAAACAAAATCAAAAGAGGTATTCAAATCCTCAACAAAAACAAAATAAGACTCAGTGACCACTATGTCAAAATTAAAGGGTCACCGATATCCATCAAAGTCAAAATAAGGTGACTGCCATGTCAAGCTTACTTTGAATCATCACTTTACACCGTCAACTCTTTTGGAAGATAAACGTGTGCAGAGTTAATTGAACGTATGACTGGAGTTCATCATGAAGAAGGAGTGGGTTAAAACAATCTTTGAGCCTTACATCCTTTGTTTCTATAACCGTGAATCAGACCATGTTACAACCCTTAAAAGACCTAATTGAGGCAGGGTTTATTCTGAAAGCATACTACAGCAAGGTTGCGTAAACTGACTCCTACAAGATTTGCTAATCTTTTCTTGCTGTATCTTTTACACCAGCTAAATATGCACTGTGTTTGGATTAATGGTCCATTCGCACACTATCACATCATTCCAATAATGATTGTTTTTTTCAAAACTTGCATGAACATCACATTAAAAATACCATTTGTGAATGAGCAGTTTCAACTGCAAGTCAGTACGTGACATCAGAAAAATTCTATCAAAGAGAAATCTAAAAGGACTTGGTCTTCCAGCAAAGTCGACTAGAATCAAGATCATATCGTTACCCTATGGGGCAGAGGCATTGGCATCTAGTGACTATGGAATCAGTCACTCTAGAGTAAGCCCTCAAGCATCAGTTGATTAAGGGGGAAAATCATTCAAGAATTGGTGGATCAGAGCAAGTCGTCTCAAGACTCTACCAACTAGGGAAGGTCACCCAGAGGCTCTTTTGGCTAGGAGAAAATCCTTCTAGAACTCAATCAGCATAAGTTAAGTCCCTTCAACGCTCATATTGGGGCAAGCTACCCTAAGAGTGCACCAGAAGTTAATATCCCCAAAAGTCGAGTAACCGAGAGGAATTGATTCACGAATCAGACTGGGGCAGATAAGGTCCAACTCCTAAAGAGCGGTCAATCATAAGTCTACCATCCCTAGAATTGGGTAATCATATGTGGACCGTTTCTAAATTCAAGACATTGGAGCAAGTCATTTAAGACCATTGGCATGGCAAGCTGCTTCCAACATTCTTTCAAGGAAAACACTTTCATTAACCCAACAGACTGGGGCAAGGTGTCTTACAGAGGGGCAAATCCTCTTCATGCTTTCAAGTTGCTCAAGCAAGCGATCCATATGTCAACCACTTCTGAGTTCAAGACGAGTGTCGGGGAATCATGTCACACCTCACCAAATGACCTTGTGTCTTCTAACAGACCAGAAACTTTGCTTTCAAAAGACCTTTTCTTCCATGTATGGGGCATCTTTGGAACCTGCAATCATTGCATAAATCTTTCTCATGCGTTGATTATGTCGCTTCGCTCTAGCGTTAGACCATACATATCATCTCATTGAGTATATACCCACAACATGAGATAACAACTTCAAAGCCAATCTTTGTCTGGTAAACCCTTTGAAGTCCGGTCAGCCTTAAACACCAGTTCCTTTCTAGTAATCTTTCATCCAAGACCAGTTCATCCAGTCTTGTCTTGTGTATCCTTAAATCAAAATCTAGTGATCACAGTCATATTCAAAGTCCAATTTTGTTGGCACTTACTCAAATAGATATTTGTCAAAGTTTATCTCTTTTGCCGATCTGAAGTTGTCCAGATCATATACCAGATGAATCCAACTTTGGCGTTTATTCCCTAAGTGGGCAAGTTTGTTGTCTCTCTCCAAGTAGAGTTGTCAGCTTTAGGCATAAATCGTGCATCGTTTCTAAATTCCCCACAGAATTTTGACCCACTCAATATCATAGTCTTGCTGGAGCACTTCAATATTTGACTCTTACAAGACATGCTATCACTTATGCCATAAATAAAATGTATTTGTTTATGCATGATCTGAAAACACAACATATGTTTTTCTTGAAGCGAATCATTTGATATACTCAAGACACTCTTGATGTCGAGCCTAATGCTACTGTTGATGATGATGTAGAGGTTACTCATTAGAATGATATTGAGGTTCCTCCTTAAACTAATATTGAGGTTCCTCCTCAAGCTGATACGCAGGTTTCTGTTGTAGCTGATAAGGAGGTGGTGGCTCAGACTAATAATGATTCGTTTGTACACATAAATGGAGGGTTTTCTTAAGAGCACAATGAATATACATTTCTCATTGGGTATGTCGATCATGTGGCATTTATATTATAATATGGAGATGTATAAATATTTTATTTTCATTTGTTTTTTATTTTTTATTGATTAATTTAAAGTAATTTATGGTTTATACTTTAATTATTACAGGATCGCACTCCATTGAAGGTGCCCACGCATGAGGCAAAGTTGAAGAAATTCTCTGATTAAAAGATGCCAAATAAGGTCAAATAAATCGTTGCTGATTATAACCTGCTTTCGTTGGTTGCCTATTTCCTCACCATGTTGGATGCTCCATTGGTGTTCAGTTTTGTTGAGTGATGGCATAAGGAGACATCCTCATTTCATCTTTCATTTGACGAGATGAAGATTACCAAGGATTATGTCTCCAGCCTCTTCCATCTCTATTTCGTTGGTAACTTATTTTTCGCTCCTATGATTAACCATGAGCTTACATGTATTATGGCTCAGCAGTTCCTAGGGGTTACATCGAGGTTGGTCTTTGAGGATTTCAGAGCTAACAAGGATGCTCACTTCCATCTCTCTTGGCTACGTGATATGTATAAGAATCTGGTAAAGGAGTCTATGTATAATGTGGCTTCTATGATATACATGTTGCATCTGGTAGGATGTACTCTTTTTGCGAACAAGTCTGATGTACACATCAATGCCAAATACATATCTCTATTTTTAGACTTTGGGCATCTCGATTGTGCGCGATGGTGTGCTGCATTTACGATATTATATACTGCCCTTGAAAATGCGTCTGTTTTTTAGATGAGACAACTTGTTTATTTTAGGTATCAATATTTATAATGTTTAAGGTATTTAGTTCATATTTATCAAAGACATTTCATATATGTAACTTCTTCTTCTTATGTAATGTTAGATATATGAGCATTTCCACTATATTTGTGACATGCGTGACCGTGGTCTTATCACTGACGGATTTCCACGGGAGGTCTTCAGGAGTTTATTTATAGGATTGATGTGTTGAAAGCAGAAAATGTCATATGGATGCCCTATGCGACAATAAAGTGCATCAGGAGTTCAATGACACATCCTTTTTTTTGGGTTACCTACGATGGGTTAGTTTTGTGGCTATATGTTTGCCTTAGAGGTGTATGCATCAGTTTGAGCATCTTCAGGACATCCATAGACCAGTCCTTGTCGTGTCATATACGGGCATTGATAAATTGTTTAGGTCTAACATTGTTTAGGTCTAGTATGACTGACCAGCAACAACTATAGAGGATAACACTTCTTTTATATAACCTTAAGGGTTTGGTAAATTCAAATTGTGAGATTAATACCATGTTGTCTGAGATGGTACACATTGTCCATGGTACATATTTATACAAATTTTAAATTATTATGGAGCATGCAAAATTGTCAGAGCAGTCACAACTCTATAAAAGTGTTGGCAAAATATCAACTATTGAAAAATAACACTACTAAATTTTTTAATGGTTATAAAAAATACAATAAGATTTGTCACGCACCGAATTGAAATTGTTAATAAAAATAAATACATAATTTTTGTGTGAAAGAGGAAATTTCCCAACATGTTAATGGAAAATACGAAAGAGTTATTTTTAGAATTACAAAAGAATTACAAAAATTTGGGAAGTATGAGATAAAATTTAAGGGGGTGGCATGATAAATTCTCCAAATTTAAGCTGCCAATCTTATGAGCCCCTCTTTCAATCGAAGCACCCATCCGAAATACCATTTCAACATTGGACCGAAATACCATTTCAACATTAGACCACTACCAATGCCCTTGTTGTCTTATTCCTCTACATGTAACATCTATAATAATAATAATTGAGCACATGACTCTATCAAATAGAGCAAACAATAATAAAACAATTATCTTTGTACACATAATTTTAAATTAACGTTGTCACACCGAGAATTATTGACTCTAATCGAACAAACTAATTTTCCACTATGAGAAAAGCCGTTTGAATTTTAGTGCATCTATATAATCACAATAATTTGGATCTTTAATAAAACATTCAGATAAAAGAATAAGGTAATTTGACAGAAGAAGAAGGGATAAAAAGAATGACAAACAATTTTATTCTATGAATTAATGGATGTACAATGAAATCATCACGGTCATCTAGATACACGTGTGAACACCAAAGCAAAATGAATCACAAAATAAATCATGAAGATCGATCCCGTCCGTCGAATCAACAAACACATCAACCAAAAGTATAAATAGAAAAAGAGAAAAGAGAATAATAATAATAACACATGAAAACAAAATAAAACGCTACTCAGAATTTAAATCAAATAGATCCCGTCCGTCCGTCAATGAAAAGTCAGATCAAGATCCACGTGGACGAATCCTAGAAAGCAATGGCGAAAAAAACAGCTGAGAGAGCAGTTGCAGCAACGATGGGTTTGTTGAAGGAAAATGCTGCAGAGGGAGAAGGTGGAGAATCGGTTGGTGTAGAGGCGGGACCACCTGCTGGGGAGGTTGGAGTAGGTGCTGGAGGAGAGGCAGAAGAGGCAGGTCCACCGGCTGGTGTAGGAGCTGGAGGGGAGGAAGCTGGAGAAGATGCGGGTGCTGGAGTGGCTGGAGTGGGAGCAGCTGCTGGTGGTGTTGCTGCTGGAGGTGTTGCAGTGGGAGGAGTTGCAGTTGGTGGGGTTGCTGGTGGTGGTGTTGCCGGTGCTGGAGATTTTGGCGAAGGGGTTGCTGTTGGTGGTGTTGTTGGTGCAGCAGATGGGGCTTGTGCAAAACAAGAGGTGGCCAGTAGACCTAAGAAAAGAAAAACTTGTAGTGCTGCAAAGGAAGCCATTTTGTGGTTTTTAGGGGCGGAGAGATATTTTGGAGATGGAAAAATTGTTTGAAAGAGAGGAAAGATGAGAAGGAGAGAGAGTAGTGAACAATGAATGAGAAGGATGAGAATATATAAAAAGAGAGGGTAAGGTTTAGAAGTGGGGGACTTTGAAACAAAGAAGTGGAAGGACAGCTACTAAGGCATCAACAATAATGGCTTTGAAGATTCCTCCAAATTTCTCTCTTAAAATATTGAAATGCTACCTATTTTTATATACTCAGATACGCAAATGGTTAAAAGCATCTACTATTATTCTATTTCCATTCTTAAGAAAATAAAAACTTTTTTATTCCTTCGTTACTTTTTTTTAAGAGTTATTTTTATTTATTTTTTACACATATTAAAAAAAACTAGTTATTTTTTATACAATAATGTTTTTTATCTATAATAATCCTAATTATTTATTATTTTTATTTTTATTTTTATCTTTTTATAATAATTATTTAAAAATAATTTTGACAAAATTACATTTAATATTATCTTAAATTTTATAAATAACAATTAAAAATAAAATATTATTTAAAAAATAATATTAAAAAATAATATTTAAAAAAAACGGAGGCAGTACTATTCTAGTTCTAAAGAAAAGCTTTTTATTTTCTTTTTAGTAATTAAAAGATTTTTATTAAAATAATTAATTTGAATTAAGTGTACTCTTCCTTTTAGTTTAACTCAAAATAAAACTTAAATAAATAGAGAATAAAAATAAAAATTTGAATTTTTTTGATAATATAAACTCTATCTTTTTTTACAATACGACGAAAATTAGTTCTGATATAATTACAGCATTTTTTCAATCTCAATTATAGACAATTGGAATATGATTTTTTCTATCAGATTTAACGTTAATTATCACTAAATCAACTAATCATTCGTGAATTTCTGACTTTTGGTGTCAATATTATACTAATAATTATTTTAATTGCCTTTATATTCCAATATTATTATACAATTAAACTAATAATTTACCCAATAATGTTCAATGACCAACACCACCACTAAAATTATGTTGCCTGCACATGTGCGCCAACCTTTTGTATCGTGGACTTACTCTGGCCGGTGCGAAGTGTATAATGGGTCAACACCTAATATACACAATTTTTAAAGTAGAATAATTTTAAAAATAAAAATAAAAACTCTTTCTATTAAATTTTATATAAAAATAATAAAAATAATTATTTTTAAATTGTCTTTTTATTAAAAATTAATTTTTAATCTGTTAAATCAATTTAATTGACATTTTACCGAAACAAATTAATAAAAAATTGACATCACATTACACCAATTACTAGCTGGCAGATGTTGAGTCGTGTCTAAATTGGGAATTTCACATTTGGCAACGGGCATAATGGTTTTTTATGTGTACTAGTAAATGTTTGTCTTTTTGTTTATCTATAGTTGTTGAATATTATTACCTGAACCACCCTTTGGTTCACGGACATGTGTCCGTTTAAAGAGTTAGTGAGTAGTCGCTGTCTTACGCCACTACTCTGTGCAGTAATTTTCCAGCCAATTTCCTAAACAATCTTCCCACTTTGTCTTCCTTCTTCATCTTTCCACTAAAATTAACCTTTTACATCGCTTTAGCATCTAACTATGGTTTTATAGTTTAGAATACGATAATGTTATAGCCATAAATAGATCTAGGCATCACCCGTGGTAGTCCGTTTCATGTGTTCTATCTTGTCAATATGCATTAAGACAAAGTAACGTCTCTTTTTCGTCAACCTTTTACATCGCTTTAACATAGGATGCTTTGTTTTAGGTTGTTTAACAAAGTGCTTTGTTGTTCTAACAAATAATTGAATTTGAGGATGTTGCTCTCACAAAATACAGGATTTGTTTTGTTCGGTTAAACGTTGGATTCAGATCAGACGTGTATCTTTTAAAGTTTTGGAATTTTAGTTATTAAAATAATAAAAATATATTTAAGGAGGTTAATTAATAATTTTCTCATCTATAATTTGAAATCCAACTAAATAATTAACCGGTTAAATTTAGTTTATGAATTAAATGAGTTGATTTTTAGTTGAAAGTTAATTGTATTAATTAAATAGTCTGAATTTGAATTGTATATATAGTTCCATTGAATTTTGTTTATAAATTGAACTTGAGACAATTTTTATTGTAGTTCAATCTAAACCCTTTTAACAAAAATATCAAAAATCTATAAAATTGACCGTTGATAAAATGATTTGAGCAAACAAGTTGATTTGAATTGTTTGTGAATTTGAATATATCAATATTGAGTTGAAAAAGAGATTTATAATGAATCTGATACGAGATTTATAATAAATTTGAGACGTGTTTGACTTAATTCACCAAACCACGTTATTTTTTTATTCCTATTCTCACTAAATTGCCACTTAAATAATTAAATTCATCAAATCTAAAATAATAACAATTAAGTTTTATCTCATTAATTATGATTGACTACATGGATCAACTTCAACCATAATATTATTTTTAGAATTATGCTAATGTGGATTTATATGTTATACATGTATAACCGTCTTTTAATTTTGATGATGACAACCGTCAAACGGTTTAAAAGATGACAACTCCATAAGTCAAACGACGTTCGGTGCTAATGAGTCAAGAATTTCTTTATAACAATTGTTAAAAGGGAAGTTGATTTCAACAATCCAATGGTTTTTGATGATGACATCCAAACAAGATACCACAAGCCTATTAGTCAAAGATATCAAATTCTATTTGAAAGTGCTAGACATTGTTTAATCAAGCAATGCACTTGAAGACTTGAAGTTATGATCTTTAAGCTTGAAAATTTGAACTTCTGAAACTGTGAAAGCTTGTATGGTCCTGCGCTTAGGATCTTTCCTAGTCTTGATCAGTTTATTGTAAAAGAAAAAGGAGTAAGTTTTGAGGTATTAAGGCAATGCGGTCATACACACACACACACACACACACACACACACACACACACACACACACACACACACACACACACACACACACACACACACACACACACACACACACACACACACACACACACATACACACACACACACACACACACACACACACACACACACACACACACACACACACACACACACACACACACACAAACCTGCATGCGCGTACATGCACGCACGTGAGGAAGAAATTGTAATGGTGTCGTGTTGTTATTACTACTCTCCAGAGTGCGATATTCTTAGAAAATCGAGTTTGCTTTCTTGAGATTAACTAGTACTAAAATCTCTGTTTGGTTCTAGAACTTTGTCAGTAAAAAAAACTTTTTTGGTTATTGACATTATCCTAAAAAATCTCTAATTGATTTGCTAGCTCATCCTGGATAAAAGCTTTCCTTTAGGTTGGACAAAAGCCATTATGAAATCTATAGATTTGATTGTATTGAAGGTTAGTGGACATAACTTGTAAAAGCTCAAGTTCATAGTTAAATTCTAAAGAAGATCTCTTGGGGACATGAGTAGGCCAACATTCTTCGAACTTGGATAAATCAATAGCTTAATCTCTATAAACCTTATCTCTTTATTTTTGCAATTTATTTTACCATTTTTATTTTCCACTGTCCACTTTACTCTAATTTTAAAGAATTCTAACATAATTTATTTTTCAAGTAATAAAACTTTAAAATAATTGTGAATTTTGAATATCAATATTCACCCCTTTTTGTGCTTGAAGTCACTTGTCTAACAAACTCAAACGGTCAAAGATGCTCAAGATGTGTTCATCAAGCTATCCTTCAGAACATGTTCTTGAATATCAAGTAATCTCTTTGATGTCATTACTATGGTTGTCAACTAAATTCAAGTGAAGACTTCAATTTCAAAGTTCGTCAGTGGTTTAACCTCTAAACTATGAGATTATAATAATCAACTTGAAGATATCTCAAGCTTCATCAAGCTATAAGATTCAAGGTTCTTGTGGGATGCTAAACTTAAATATATTAATGCCAAGACTTTAAGCTTCAGAGTTGTGAAATAGCGAAAGTGTGAAAGCTCATTTATTCATGTATGTTTGAGTGACTAGTGTCTTGTAAAAGCATAAGGGTAATTCTAGAATTATTGAAAAATCACACACACACACACACACACACACACACACATACAAAACACGCGTGCATGCGCACACACATGCACACACACACACACACATACACATGTGCGCGCGCATGCGCATGCACACACACACATACGTGCACACGTGCGCACGCACACCCCATCGCCCCACATGCGCACATACATACACGCACATACACACACAATTGCAGATGCAATAATGTGAATGATCCCTAAATGAATGATCAAGAGAAACATGATTGTAAATGAACAAAGTTATATGCCAGATGAATAATAAAAGGGGTAGGGGAATTTTTTGGGTATGATAACACACTTGATGGTAAATTTCAAGAACATGATACGGAGATGAAGAGACTTGTTGGTGACGAAGAAGATAATAAGAATAAGAGGAAAATGATTACACTAAAGGATACTAACATCAAAGACGTGGAATCATAAGATGAAGGTTGTCAAAGTGAGATTATCAAATACATGAAATTAATATTTCAAAAATTCAAAGAGTTCCTAAGGCACACTTTTTTTTCTTCAATTTTCCAAGAAAAAAATGAAGAAAGATACTCCTTCATTCCCACATGCCACCAATGCGGAAATAAATGGCACATAAAATCTAACTTCCTTCAAAATTAAAGAAGATTTAAGAAACCGCTAAAAGAAGTTAAGAAAGTCTACATATCTTAGGATGACAATGATGACAAGGAAGAAGAAAACATGTGTCTCATGAAAAATCATAAAGAAGAAGAGGTACCTCTTATTTTTCTTATTAAGAATTATTTCGATTATGTAAAAAAAGCTAAATAATGAAACTAGTAAATTAAAACAAATTGTCTCTACCTCTAAAGACACTATTTGCTCCCTCAAATTGAAAAATAAAAACTTATTGGAAGAAATAGAACAACTTAAAGATAGACAATATGATCTAATTCATAACTCCTCCTCTTTT